AGGGTGTGAATAGGGAGGAAAAATTTTGGAAGGTGTTGACCGTGAAAAACAATTAAGTGGAGGGTGCAAATAGACCCTTTGGCCTTTATTTGGTGCATCCTTTTTATCAGAAATCTGTGGAGAAGACGTTTTCCTCTTAGCAGGTTACGTCTTTGGTTTCTCATTTGAGGAATTCTTGACTTTGCCAATGGGTGGAGGATTTTCGGCTTTGCTTTTGTCTTCCTTTTTGTTATTTTCTAGGGGAGCAAATTGGTCCAAGGAATTCATTACAGCACGAAAGCGTGATGTGAAGTGTGACGTCCACCAGTCTTTATAAGCTTTAGTGCAGTCGGGATGGCTAAGTGGAGGTGGCTGAAAGTCGATTGAGTTAAGGAACATGCTGGTAAGTTGAACCTACTCTTGTATTGATTCGATGTCAGGAAAGAGGAACCTCAAAGGGAAGCAAACATGTCTGGTAAACTGAGGTGGAGAAAGGATGGCCTGGCAATATCCAAGTTGCCAACAGAATTGATTAGGAACGTATAGCTCTAAGCTGCACCTTGATTGCGGCCCCCCAATGCTACAGCCTATGAATAAATCTCTTGGAGAGATGTAAACTTTCCAGTAAGCTTTGAATTCCTCATTGTTCCTATTTGCTTTATACCATTCTGGGCCATACTTCCTTTCAAGAAATACTGCAAATTTTGCATTTGGCCGGTCAATTGAGAGGGATGCAAAATAATTAAAATATGTCTTAAAACTTTGCGGCAACTTCTTTGCATCTTGGACGCACATGCCGTAAGTTAGCAAATCTTCCTCATCAACTTTCTCAAATTCAAGGGTGACAGTTGGAAAATAAGAATAAAGCCACAATTGTAGGACCCATAGAGCACCACTGAATTTCCCGAATGGAAAGATGGTGACATCATAGCATCCACGGTATATATAGCCGAGCATAAATTGAGCAAGAGCAAATTTTTTACCATGTGCCAAACCGACAGCAAGAGGAATGAACTCTTTGGCAACACACCTCCCAGTAAGGCAGACCATAAACTTGCAGATCAAACATAATAAAAAGGAAATATGTTCTCTTCGGTCTTGATTCTTACTCTTGGTGGCGAGAATTGAGTTCCTTTGGAAACTCAAGAAAGTTGTTCTGGTGTCACCGGGGTCATATTCTTCTACAGGAACAGTTAGCAGCAAGGCAGAAACCTCTTCTCCAATGCAGGGAAGACCGGTTAAAGAACAAATGTCAAACAGAGAGATGGACATAGCACCACAAAGGAAGTGAAAGCAATTATAGGAGCATGACCAAAAACACATAGCTGCTGTCAGAATGGCTTTGTTTACCGGCACTTAAGTTGTGGTCATATGAATAAATACAAAAATTCCAATTGCTTTCCATACGTCTGCAAAGTGAGGTTCCAACCTTTTTACCCATGCCGGCCATTCGCCTTTAGTTACTATTGGCCATGCAACGATGCGTGTTGACCACTCACTCCAATCTGGTTTGACTTGAAAGGGTAATAGATGCTTGCTCGGCTGAGGGTAGTGCAGGCATAGGAGTGCAACGGCTGCTTCCTTCAAAACTAGACCCAAATTGATGGAATCGTTGAAGACGATGTGGATCTGGTTGTTGCAACAAGAAGGTTCTTCATTAATAATTTTGGCAATTTGTTTTTAAATATTACCGAATTGATGCCAAAGGGGCTGATTTGATTTGACGCTTCCTCCTTGTTGCAATTCACGGGCAGGAAATTGGTTGGCCATGGCTGGAACGGTTTGACAGGGATCGATGGCGCCGAGAACCAGAGAAAAAAAAATATTAAAAAGAAAAAGAGAAAAGCTGCTGCAAATTCACGATGATGATCATGTTTTATAATGAGTTGGAGTTGGCAAGGTTTCCAAGTCCTAAGTGTTGAGGAATTGCAGTGGCGCCACAGTAATTGGAGTCAGCTCGTTTCCGATTCCAAAACGGAGAAGAAACGTAAACAGCAAAAAGTGAAAAAGGTGAAAAGGAAGGAAGCCCTTGAGGAAATTTGGGGTTTACAAAAGAGGACAAGGGCACAAAGAAGTTGAGTACTGTCACTAAGGTCCTAAATTTTTGACACCTACTCCCGTAAGGCCAAAAATTGGGGGGTAATGTTTACACCTAATTTTACAACAAATTGAGTGCTGTCACGTGTCACCCATGATGGCAAATATTTTATTAGTTGAAAGTTGGTGTGAATTTCTTCAGATGAGATTGAGTGGTTATTTCCACAACGGCAGCAAAACCGTTCTCTTGTTGCGAGCTTCCAGGAGGATAATCGCAGCACCAACAAATTAATTAATTTGTTGCAGATATCACGCCTCCGTAGGTTTTTCAGGATGTTGCCGTAGATCTCCACCATGCTGTCAAGGTGCTATAAATACCTAATGATAAGATCAAGCAAAGGATCGACATCTCACACAACAAACTCAGCACAATTTTTCTTTATGCTCAGATTCATCTTAGTTTCAAGCCCTTTAATTTAATTTCAGCTCTATGCTTCAGCTTAGATAATTTAGCAATTTAGTTCTCCTTTTATCATATTTGTAATGGTGAGTTTCATTGCCTTCAGTAATATTTCTTTGTGATTGGATTGCTTCTTTTCCTTTTCTATTTTCCAAGTTTCATTTAATTAAATCAAATGATGTCGACATTTAATTTCATATTCAATTGCATTTTTGTTAATTTATATTTCATGCTGCCACTAGATTTTCCTTGTTTCCAGTTTTATTTACTTTAACTTAATTTACTTTTCTTGCAATTAAATTTCCTTTTAAAGCTCTGTTTCAACCCAGTTTGCATATTTAAAGTTCATTTAAATTTTCAGCAGTTTAGCGATCATTTATTTTTCTTGCAGTCTTAACTTTTCTTGATTACATTAGCTTTGAGGAGTCCTTGGAATCATATTCAGGGCATTTTGCCGTATAACCCATTTAGTGCAGGAAGTTCATCCCTCGTTTCTGCCAATCGTCTGATCTTTAAGGCGTAGTGCAGGAAGTTCATCCCTCGTTTCTGCCAATCATCTGATCTTTAAGGCGCAGTTTACAACATTCTTCCATCAACTCACAAACTGAGTTCCACGCTTGGAAAGAAGAAAGGGTCGTCGGAGAAATCTTTTTTATTTTGAGCAAAGCAAGTGGCACGTCATTTCATCTATCACGTGTTAAGGAGATTTTTTGGAATAACAGATACATATTTGTCCAAAATTGCTAATTCTTTCTTCCCCACGATGGCACCAATAGCCGAAAAGGCAATAAGTCATCTTAATTTGACGGCATTGTAAAATCTCGGGTTTAAGATTTGCTAATAAAAAAAAAAAAAAAAAGAGTACTGAGAGAACTTTTTTTTTTAAAGGGTTTGATCAGATTTAATTTTTAAATTAATTAAAATTTAATATAATTTTTAAATATAAAAAAATTTAATAAAAATTTATGGGATGCACTTGGCCCTTGAGGTCTAGTGGCAATACCCACCCCGGTGCATTCCCCTCTCTCCGGGCTGAGTTCAAAACCCGCCCCTTGCAAATATGTTCAAAAAATAAAAAAATAAAAAAATATGGAATTATGGATTAATTTTTTTAATATAGTTGATAATTAATAATTAATATTTAATAATTAATAATTATTATTTATAATTTAAAATATCTAATTTATTTAATTAAAACTAACAACTAATAACTATTTTTAAAAAATTAAAACAAACACACATAAGTGACGGCCTTGCTTTCCTTCAGTCTCGTGCATTCTACAGCATTCGT